TGAACTCATTTACATATTCTAGACACAAAGGTCACTTAAAATATATCTTGTGAACGAATTCAGGAACATTCATGCTAATATCATTGTGACATCTGCATAAAATTTAGCTCGGATGTATTGGAATATGAATGTAAAGAATAAAGAATATGGAATAAAGAATATGGTGTAAAGAACACGGTGTAAAAATGCGAAGAATGAAAATGATTTCCATTTGAGAAATAAGAAAAACATCTTTCATTAATCAGTTCTGGTAACATTGATTCCCTACAAAAAATTCCTTTTGACGCTTTTAAGTACGAACAAAAGTTATCCTTGAGCATTACTTTGGATTAGACCTAAAAACTACAGGGAGGTCCTCTGTAGTCCAATTATTGAGTTATTCACTAGGGAAGCAAAAATGAATTCCAACTAAAAACTTTTCAGGCTGATTGCCCCCTGTAATCATGTTGACAGACAGTCTTTCTAAAGCCTAACCCACCATATTCTATTCTTTCATCAGTTCCCCAGTCTTGATAGCATCGGTCAGTGGCTGTTCCATATTGTACACCCCCTCTGAATTTGAAAGAACTCTCTATAGGAGGGAAGGACATACATTCCCAAGGGATAACTTCACCTTTCATTCTGAACTCTCTTGCTTCAGTCCTCTTTCTCAGTTCTTGGCCACATTGTTGGAATTGAGCTTAAATCTGAGCCCAAAATGGTCTCTCTTCCATTCAATGGCTACAAGTTATACAATTATTTATAGATTCCTGCCTAGTCCTTTTTGATATTTGCCCCTCTTCTCAAAGTTTGTCTCACTGCCATCTTGGTACAATCAGATAGCATGGGGCATGGAATTTTGCTTCCTTCGACAATATATGCTATATTGATGAACTTAAGGCCCTGAAGGAGTATTTCAAGGCATTATCATTGATGTCAATGTATGGGGCATCAGACATTACGGAAGCGATGATTTATTCTTCAGCCCCAATGCTAACCAACTTTACATCAATCATGAATTTCACCTTCTAGTGTAGAGACGAAGGGACTGCTACTGCAGAATGGATCCAGGGTCTCCCCAATAAGTTGTTGTAGGTTGGGTGGATGTCCATTGCAACAAATTCAATGTTGTAGATAGTAGGTCCAATCAGAAAGGGTATCTCTATTTTTTTTGGTCCCATCACATTTTTGGGTTCCATCAAATGCCCTGGCAACATTGTGGTAAGCTCTCATGTATTAGTTATCTACGACCAACCTCTGCAGTGTAATAAAAGGCATCACGTTTAGCGCGGACCCATTTTCTATTAGAACTCCTGGTAGAACATGGCCGTGCAGTGAATAGTGATATTTAAAGCTTTGACGGATCTCATCTCACCTTCCGGGATCTCATCATCAGTAAACCCATCCCACCTTCCGGGATCTCATCACCAGTGAATGTGATGTAATTGTCTAAATCTATATGTCCTACGATTCGGTCTAGCTTATCAATCGATATATCCTCAAGGACAAATGTCTGGTTTAGAACTTTCAGCAAGGTATTCCGATGTACCTTTGAATTCATTAACAAAACTAATATTGAGATTATGGCCTGCTGCTTGTGATGCTGCTCTACCACGTTGTATTCACTATGCTTTAGGAACCTTAGGAATTCACGAGCCTGAGCCTCAGTCACTGGCTCATTAATTACTGCTGGAGATTCCTTGTTAAAGATTTTTGATACCGTTACTGTCTTGCTTTAACTTTCACCATATATGCCTCTCTGGATGTCTCGGGTAAGTAACTTCTTCCACTCCTCGTGAAGTGGCCTACTTCACTCACCTCTTCAGTGAATGGTTTCTTCCCCTCCTTTATTCTATCAGAAGGTCTTGACCCTCCTAGCAGGGACACATTTGCAGTATAATTACAAGGAACCTATTGTGTGTCTTTAAATGGGAAATGAGATGGAGTTATAATCACGACTTTAGGAGTAATTGATGATAAGCTATCATTTTTAGGATTGATTGTGATGATCACGGGTTTTCTTATTCAATGTGTCTTATTAGAGCCATCTGTCGTGCAAACATCCATATTTCTTTTTCACTCATCTTGATCAAAGAATTCTATTTCACCATTGTTCATCATCTCCTGAAGTAATTCTTGGAATTCATAGCAGCTTTGAATGTCATGACCCTCTTCTTGGTGATAATCACAATACACTTTACACCCATTAGGCTTCGTCTCGAGATTATCCTTGATCATCCCTACCTTACACAGTCGTTCGAACACCCAGCTAAGAGGAGACTTGATTTCTGACACATCATTCTTCAACCTCTTATTGTCCTCTTCGCCAATCATATTTACTCTTTTCCCCCTGTGATTGGGTAGGGGATGAGTGCTTGTAGATGGTGTCTTGAATTCTAGGTCTTCTGTGTTGATCAAATTTTGCACAATTTTCTTGAATACCAGGCAGTTCTTGATATCATGCCCAACAATCCCTGAGTGATACTCGCAGTGGCACTAACATTATACCAACGAGGGTAAGGTGGCTGGAGAGGAGTCAACTTATAAGGATGTACCACGTCTTCTTTCAATAGTGAGGCATATATTTCAGAATACAGTATTGGCACAAGTGAGAAGGTCATCCTCGTAGTCTCTTTCCTCGACCCTTTATTTTCACTGGTGTTTGTATTCTCTGTCCTAGGCTGGGTGATTGTGACACTAGTTGTGGAATTTTTGTGGTAAGTGTTCATATGATTTACCTCATTCTCTTTCTTCTTATAATAGGGCTTCTTAGACCCTTCTCCACCCTTAATCTTACCACTCTTTATGGTATTTTCAATTAATTCTCCCGAAATGACCATATCAGCAAAATTCTTGGTGGCATTTTCTAACAAATATTCGAGATACAAATCCTTCAAGGTGTTCACAAAGATAACAGTGGCTTCCTTTTCCAGTAGTGGGGGCTACACCTGGGCGGCTACGTCATGCCATCTCTGGGCTTAATGCCTAAAAGTTTCGTTATGTAACTTTTCCATATTCTATAGAGTCCATCGATCAGGGAATAAATCAGTGATATGTCGGTACTACTCCAAAAATGATTTGGCTAAATCCCTCCATGATTTGACGTGGGATTTTGTTAGTTGATTGTACCATATCCCAGCAGATCCAAACAAGTTATCCTGGAAACAATGTATCAACAACTTCTCGTTTTCGGTATAGTCAGCCATCCTCCTACAATACATGGTGAGGTGGCCAGATAGAAAGGTGGTCCTATCATATTTTTCAAAGTTTGGTACCTTGAAATTTGGTGGGAGGATAAGGTCAGGGGCTAGGCACAGTTCCCTAGTGTTCATTCCATAAAACGACTTAATTACCTCTACCGACTTTACCCTTTCCTATAGATTCCTAAGTTGTTGTGTGAACTCACTATTTACTTTCTCTTTTTTGGCCAATTCATTAAAGTTGGGTGGTAACTCTTCTAGGCCAATTCGATAGGTCTTGATATGGCTGCAAGTAGATAGTTCAATAGGAACGAGGACTCTGTGTGGTGTTGTTAGTTAGCCAAATAGACTCCAGGTCTAGTATCCTATGGAGCTGGGGAGCGAACAGAAACATGCATAGGTGTAAAGCTTAGAAAATGTGAGGGATCTGGTGTAAAACTCGATGGGTGTTGAGGGTCAGACACATAACATGTTGGGTGAGACGGTTCAGGGTTAAAACCTAATGAATATAAGGGATCCTGATTGTCAGTGGCCTTTTCGGCAGTCGAATGCTTTTTGAATATATCCTTAATCTTCTTTAGTAAATCCGATTGCTAACTCGTGATATCAACTTCAATCTTATCTAGTCGATTCCTGAGCTCTTCTTGCATTTCCCTCTGGTCTTGCTCAATATGGGCCAGTCTTTCTTCCATTTTCTTGGTTGTTTTCTAATGCCGTACGGATACGAGATGAAGGCCAGGATCACTATAAATGATCAGAAATAGTATTTTATTATTTGGTGTCTTATTAAATGAATGAATGTATTAATGTATGGTTAGAATATAAGAGATTGAAATGAAAAATGAATGTACAAATGCATGTTAGAATTTATGCAATGCAAAAGGCAGTGATCCAAAAAAGTGAACATCACATAACAACTTCCATTAGACAAAAAGTTCCCAAGTACAAAGCACTTCAATTGCACATAAGGCCTAGCCCTTATACTTAGTTCTATAATCTCTTTCATGAGTTCTATGACTTTTCTCCCATAGTTAGATATTGGACTGGTAAGATCCAAAATAATTTCTGCCCTATTGGCTAAATCTCTTATGTAGCGAACTACGTCAGCCATCTGTGCAATCGCCTCTCCCATCATTAATATTGATGATTTCTCTTTCAAGACAAGTGATCTAAATCTGACACTGTTGAAGCTCATGTCTTATGTAGCGAACTACGTCAGCCATCTGTGCAATCTGTTTTCTGCTCGAGACAAACTTAGATTTGACAAAGTAGGTGAGACATGTTCCTGATACAGGTACTCCTCTAGCTGCGAGATCTGATCCCCAAGCTTAAGGTTTGGGGTTCAAGTATGGATCATTTCCTCCTCATGTCTTAGTTGTATCTCTCCCATTTCTTTGCTAAGTTCCTCGACTCGACGACTCTTGCTTGAGTACCTTCGCATCCAAGATTGGACTTCAAATTGTTTTCTGTCAAGAATACGGTTCCAAGCCTTTATTTCATTGTGAATTTTGTCTTTTTTGACTCATTCTCTTTTTCAATATCTTGAATTTGCTGACCTCTAGCTTCAAATTGTTCCATCATATCGCTCATTTTAGCTTCCAACTCTCGGATTCTAACACTTTCTTGTTCTCCTCCTCTAGACCTTTCCATCTCCAATTATTTTATTTCTCGGCCATAGACTTTGGTTTGCTTGATCAATTATTTCTTGTGGGCCTCCCATTATTCTCTTGTTTTCATTTTTTCTTCAAGCTTCTCAAGTTGAAGTCTATTCTTATCCTCTAATATTTTAATGCGATATTTTTGGATTCCCAACTCTTTTACCCATTGCTCTGACGTTTTACCAAACCTAGCCCTTCATCTTTCAAGTACAACTTCCTACAGACCTTCTTTAGATCTTCATGGTCCTCCTTCAACTTTTTTTCCCTTTCTTGAGTTGCTCAGCCTCTACTTTATAAACGTTATTTTCCAACCCCAAGTGAGATATTGTATCTTTCATGTTTCCACTTTCTTTCGCCCACTCACCTCTTTCAACCTTGAATTCTCTCCTTAAAATCATGGCTTCTGAAGGTACCTCTCGCATTACTCCTTCCATCAGGACATTGTTTTCATTGTGCTATGGAAGATTCTCGTTCTTTCTATGTAGCCTCCATCCTCGTAATCAAGGGTCACCACGACCAAAAATGACACCAACATGCTTTGAAAAGTTGTACTCTATTGCTCAAAGATTGATCGGATTGTCAACTTATATTGTCCCCCTTGGAACGCAAATTCAGACAAGGCCAATCCCTGGGTGATAGTCATAAACTGACATGCTCTATATTGTCTCAATAACATAAGTGGTGCATATCCAACGGTTCCTCATATTCCTATAAGCATCACCCAATCATGGTTCTCTATGCGATACAGACATACCTCGGGTAAAACCAAGGCGCCTTCTATATTAGATCTTCTTCCTTGAAGTTCTTTAAAGCAATAGTCCATCTATCCTCAGGAGGTATCTGTTGCCCAGTCCTACTTTAAACAATCTTCTAATGGGGAGTACCAGGATAGCATAGTCCTGACAGGTGCATTTTCTTCCTTCTATAAATGACTTCGAAACCAGACAATCAATAATTGAGCACATTCTAAGAAGCGTCCTTCATGCCTACGATAGGCATTTAGGGATCGAAAGGTTTTAGCTAATATTACTGGTACAAGGTTGATTCCTCTTTTCCAATTGATCAAATAAATCCCACACCGTTGATTCCACATACCCTAGAATCTTTGGAAAGATCACAAGGCTATAGATCCCTAAGGCTAACAAGATTAACTTTTTGTCGCTATCGGGGTGTGTTTCGATGATCTTCTTAATGGATGACCATGCAATCCCTTCACCTTCCCCTTTCTTCTTGATCTGTTCGGTGGCCCACTTTTCACCCATTCCTGTAACGACTACTATCTTATTCTTGAACGATTGAGGCTTTGACGGCCGACTATAAATCTGGTCCACTTTAGCAGTTTTTAAGTTAAGCAAAGTGGTGTACTCCTCAATGGTTGGGGTCAAATCGAGCCTGTTGAAAGTAAAGCTGGTATAGGTCGAGTTCCAAAATCAAACCAAAGCTATAATTAACAGTTCTACTACCACAACAAAGAGCAGATCAACGATGTCACCAAACATGCCTTGAAATGTTTTCCTCTCATAGCTCTTTAGACTATTCCAAATTCCTTTCAGGTCCTCGATGTTATTTTGCTGGACGTCAATGTGAGTATATCTAGTCAACCCAGATATGTGGTCCTCTGGCAAACCGTCTCCTCGTTTTTTTCTAGCATTCTCTGACCATACACATACTTCACTATACGAGCTACTCTGGTTTTGGTATTTTTTTCTCCATTTATGAAAGTTTTCCCAAAAGATGGTCACTTCGCATATCAATGCCCTTTTTTATGATAAAAGATGATATGGAATGATAAACGAAAGAAAAACAAAAAGAAACACAAGTTAGTTCAGATATTAAAACAAATAAATATATAAATAAATAAATATTCACTATCTATCATGGAATCTACCAAAGCATATTCTTAGTGAAGCAACAATTTCATGCTTTCTACTCATATGTTCGAATTACCACAACCTAAACACATAGTGTCTAGTCACTTCGCATATCAATGCCCTTTTTTATGATAAAGAGATATGGAATGATAAACGAAAGAAAACAAAAAGAAACACAAGTTAGTTCAGATATTAAAACAATAATATATAAATAAATAAATATTCACTATCTATCATGGAATCTACCAAAGCATATTCTTAGTGAAGCAACAATTTCATGCTTTCTACTCATATGTTCGAATTACCACAACCTAAACACATAGTGTCTAGTTTGCATGTTTTCACTTATAAAATAAATCTATTATACGAATTGAATGGCAAAGGTTAGGAGGAGTTCTTCCTTAGTGTACTTATTAGGGTAATCAGTATCAAACGGTGTTTCGGCATGACTTTTGGCGGGCATGGGCTCACTATATGTAGGGTTTTGGTTTTAAAGTAACGGAGGTACTCGAATTGTCCTTAATATTGGTGCCCCTTGGGCTTCCAAACACTCGATCCTCATCTATTATAGACTTAAGCAGATCGAGTTCAATTCGAGGAAATACATTCTTATTTCTACACACAGGACTGCTCATGAAGATCATAAGGGTATGTATTTCGGAAATGACTCACTAGCCTGTGCAGAGGGCTACTCACGAAGGGTACTAGTGACTCACCCCCACTTAGCGAGACAAAGCTCGGGTATAGAGATTATGACATGCGAATGCACGCGACGAGTGTGAGCAAGAACTCACAAACATTTTACTAAAAGACAAAAATAAAACTGATTTATTTCAAAAAAAAAATTGACTTATGTGAAAACGAGGAAAAACCAATCATGAGTGCAACTAATTAGAGGAAATCAATAAACATGTTGCATGGTTATGAAAAGTGAAAGGAAAAGGATCATGACTCAAATAACGGTTCAAATTTGTGAAATCAATCACTCGAACAATGTATAATTGAATAAGTCCTAACTCTCGATGTTCCCATTGGAGTCGCCAAGTTGTCATAACCATTTTTTTCTTTCGAAATTATTTTTGATTGGAAATAATTATGACTTTATTTCGAGAGATTGTGATTTTCGGTTTAACTTTAAAATCGGAGTCGTCATCCACCTTTTGGGTTAGGTAAGTCGAATACCCAAAAATGTCTTTAAAAATAATTTTAAGAAAATCAGTTTTAAGACAAAAAATGGTATGCGTTAACCAGAAATTTATTTTTAAGGGTTTAGAAGTCGGTTACACATTGGGAATGATAAGAAACCCTGCAACACCCAAAATTGATACATCTCGATTATACATGGTTGAAAATGGTGAGATTTTACAAATTTGAACTCGAGATTTAAATTACGATCATTTTTCACTTCTATGACACTTTTTTTAAATGAGTGAATTCATTTTTTAAAAAATATTTATCTCGGTGAAGGGTTTAATTCACTCGAATTTATTTTAAAAAGGATGTCATCTTGCTACGAGAATTAACATAAATTAAAATCCAGTTATGTTGGACGTAATTTCGTTAACTCACGACGTAAGACAACTTTGCCTTGTACTCTTATGGAAAAAGATAAAAGGCTGATGTAAAGTTATGAACGCAACAGTGATAAATGACAGGTATAAAATGAATGAAATATTCACATATGTAACAAATGAATGAATAATAAAAAATACAATAAATATTTATTTAAAATAATTTCGTTATATAAAAATAAATGCATATAAAAGATATTTTCTAAAATAAAAAAGTTTATGTATCTAAAAACATAAAATACAAACAAATATTGAATAACAATAAAATATTAATTTTATTTGAAAACCCTCGGAAGGACACTCTAGGTATTTGGAGGTCTTTCATTGGTTAGTCGAATAATTAACGGTGAATTTTATAATATTAATGGTAACTATTATTTTTCAACATTAGTACTTATTAAAATACTAAAAACATTTTTTAATAATAAACATTCATGAGAATTATATATATATAACACTAAGTAAATAAGAAATACCCACCAAACATCCAAAATATATTTATTCTATCTACATGTAATATTAGATCATATATTTAATATTAAATTTTTACAACCATATATTAAAACATTATTAAAAAAACTATGAAATATATATGTATATTAAAGAAACAATAACAAAATTAAAAATCTAAAATAATACATCAAATACAAATAAATGAAAAAAACCAAGTGAATAGTGACTAACATACAAATACAACATAGTTTAAGGACTTAAAAGAAAATAATCCAACAATGTTTGATGGCCATAAGTTAACTAACCCTAAAATTAACACGTAAACATAAAAGGGTAAATAACATGGTCAGAAAAAATAAATTTGAAATTTAAAACAACAATAACACAACCACGGGGACCAAAACGGAAAAAACAGGTGAAGTTAAGGAATTTAAACACAATTCTACAAACTATTTATATCAGCCAACATTAATAAAATAGAAGGGAAAATCACACAACCATGATAAAACTTTGGGACTAAATTAAAAAAATGAAAACCAAGGACCAGGGAGTAAAAACACATCAAAAGTACGAGAGCAAAATTAACGCCTAAACTCCTATTATAAAACACACATTTTTTGCTTGAAATCATTTCTAACCATAAAACTAAAAAAATCTTCAAACTCTCTCAACCCCTATTAAATCTCTCACCGACGATGTCACCAAAGTCTAACTTCACATCGTCGACCACCACTTTGACCACCGCTCACTGTGGCCGGAGTTCCTAAAAGTACCCCCAAAAAATCTAAACACCCCGATCTACCCACCTAAACCCAAATCAAAGCCGAAAACCCCCTAAGTAAGACCTAGATACCCCCAAACTAAGACCCGACCTTTTGATTTCTACTACTCCGGTGAACCCCTACGACGCGAAGCTCTCCCCCTCTCTGGTAAACTTTTCTACCCCTTTTAATATTTTTTTATTCAAAACTTAATGAAAAAACATTATTTACCTTGAAAGTTTTTTTGTATTGCTTCTTGTGAGAATGAGGGAAAAAGGCATACCTTTTACATGTTCTCTTTAGGGTTTTATACCGAATTTTACAAAGATAATATATATATTATTTTTTTTACAAAAGTAAGACCTAATCTCTACTTGCTCCTCTGACAATCGTTATTTGCCTATGCACGGTGGTGATTTACATTTTTAATGCCCTAAAAATTTTGGGGTTGTATTGGGATTTTGATGAGACTTGGTTTAGAGGTTTTGAGTTGAACATGGCTTCGACGATCAGCATAATGGGTGACGAGACAGATCTGGAAACAGCGGCTGGAATCGCTTGGAGGCAGTCCTGACTTTGGTGATGACACCGGTGACTACTACACCATTTAAGGTTAATGATGAAACCTAATATTGCAGCTGATCTAGACCATCCGATTAGATCTGATCTAACGATTATGGATTTTGGTGGCTAAAGAGAAAAACACAAAACCCTAATCCACACGAGCCTCTTTTTATGTGCTTCAGGTATTCTAATTTTGTATTTGGGTTTGGTTTTGTATGTAAATAAATATTTAATAATAATAATATTTTATTTATTTGTAATAATAATACTAAATATTAAAAATGGGTTGGGTGAAAATATGGTGATTATAATTAGAAACAAAAAATAAATAAAATAAAATATATATTTTTATAAATTTTATATTAAATTATTCTGAAAAATTATATTTTAAAAATATTTTAAAGTATTTTTTAATTTTTAAAATCATATTATTTATTTATTTTGAAATAGTATTATTTAATTTTTAAAATTTTTAAAACATTACTTAATTTTTTATTATACTAAACTAATTTTTTATTATACTAAACTTAATAATTACTTATATCATTATTAAATTAAAAGACTCTATTAACTATTTAATTTTAAATAATTATTATAATATTATAAATAATAAATAATATGATTTTAAAAATTAAATAAATTAGTGTTTTAATTTAATATATAAGTATTAAGTTCAATATAATAAAAAAACGATTCACACTATAATTGAGTGGCTAAGTTTTTTTGTCATTAATTAAAAGTGTATAATATTCTAATCTTATAGTCATCTAAAAGTATTTATTTTGTAGTGATATCTTTATATAACTTAAATGCAAAATATAGTAAACTTAAATGACTAGTTTAACTCAATGGTTAAGTGTTTTGCTTCTCATGCAAGTGTCCCAATCTCAATTCATGTGGGGAGTAAGCATGATTTGTAACACCCATCTCCCATATACCTTTACGTATACGAGCTAAAGATGTCACATCACTTTCAAAACAGTTTTCCATTTGAAAATCCGTACAATTTTGTTTCATTTTATAAACCATTAGAATTTATTTATAATTAAAACATGCATTAACCTACATATACAAATAAAAAGAGATGTTCCACATTTCACCGTTTTACAATAGTTTAATTCAAAAGTTTTATAGAGCGTTTTACTAAACCTATTACATGCCGACTAAAATATATCAAAAGTAGACATGTATGTCATATTGTTACTGATTAGGCGATTCTAACTTGATGTCTGATTATCTCATTACTTAGCTGGTATTCAACCTACGTGTGAAATGAACACACGTTAAGTATTACTTAGTGAGGCATACTAAATCATAAGCAACTTATAAACATAAATATAGGGTAATAATTCTAATATTGAGCAACTCTTTACAATTTATTGTAAACCTTATAACTTTGCACCATTTGTGCTATTACGGTCATTCACCCACTTTCTATTCATGTTCATTTATTAGAATGCACAAGTAGTGCCTATACAGAAATTCATCAACTCATGATGCATTCAGTGGGTTGCACACATAGTGAATGTATGGTGATTCATCAACTCATGAAGCATTCCGTTGATTTGCACACAAAGTGCATGTACGGTGATTTATCAACCCATGATGAATTCCGTGGATTTGCACACAAAGTGCTTGTACGGTGATTCATCAACCCATGATGAATTCTGTGGATTTGCACACAAAGTGCATGTACGGTGATTAATCAACCCATGATAAATTCTGTGGATATCAACCCATACTAACATTCCTTCATTTAGCCTCTTAGAACATCTAAAATCTTTCAAGAACATTCATTTCTAAGAATTGAACCACTTTTTCTAATATGTTCTTAATCCCATCTAATACTTCTAATCTCTCATTTACCTCTTTGTCAATTAAAATCTACCAGTAAAACTCAATAAACACTAATATACTAACATATCATTTCAAAACCCATTTTCTAAAATCTCTAATATTTCTTCATT